GGGCAGCTGCTCTTCTTTATAAATTTAAAACCTAAATGTGAAGAAGTCAAGTGCCACGCAGGGTTGCAGAGTGAGGACAGGGCCGGTCGGAGAGCCGATCGCCCACCTCGCCCTGCAGCCGGCACCTTCTCAGGACACCAGGTGCGGGAGCCGCGGCCCCTTCCAGAGGTTTCACTGGGAAAAGACACTTCGGAGTGTTTCCCCCGACAGCAGTTCTCCTTTGTGATCCTCACCAAGGGTGTTCTCCCACTGGTTGTTAGAGAGAGTGGGAGGGAGGAGGAGTGACAGAGAGAGAGAACCACTGATGTGAAGGAGACACATCCCACACGAGCCCAACCAGGGCGGGGGATCGAGCCTGCAGCCAAGGTCCACGCCCTTGACCGGAATGGAACCGGGACCCTACAGTCTGCGGGCCGACACTCTATCCACTGAGCCAAACCGGCTAGAGCCTAACATCAATTCTTTTTTTTTTTTTTTTTTTTTTTTTTTATATATTTTATTGATTTTTTACAGAGAGGAAGGGAGAGAGATAGAGAGTTAGAAACATCGATGAGAGAGAAACATCGATCAGCTGCCTCCTGCACATCTCCCACTGGGGATGTGCCCGCAACCCAGGTACATGCCCTTGACCGGAATCGAACCTGGGACCTTTCAGTCCGCAAGCCGACGCTCTATCCACTGAGCCAAACCGGTTTCGGCCTAACATCAATTCTTGATAAAAGTAAAAAAATATATTGATTAAAAAAAAATGCCATCACAAGTTCATTTAACAAACTGTCACCAAAAAATGAAAGACAAAAACATTTTTTACTAGCAATTCATCATCTGTATTGTTGATAAAAATTTTCACTATAAAGTAAGTTGGAAAAATGACTTCAATACACTAATCCTAAAACAGTTTAGAAAACAACTTAATCTAAAACAATGAAATTGACTGGAAATACTTATTACATGTGACAGTTTTCACACTGCGATTAGCTGTCTCCTCCCGCTGGGCAGCGGTTGCTGGGAAAGCATGGACTTGTCTACTTTGTTCATAGCTACACCCCCAGCACCTACAATGCTCGCTGACCAGAGTCGACACCTGATAATATCTTTCCACGCTGAGGAGTACATGCAGGTGAGATTCTCTTATAGCAGAGCGTGCATCGTAAGTCTGCCTCCTGAGTGAACCTCTTAACTGGGAATAAGCATAAAAGCAGAATTCAATGGAGGGAGTTATGCTTGGGAAAGGAAGGTTCTAGCGCGTGATCTTGACTGATGGTGTGAAACACAATCATACGTCAGCGCAGAGCAAAGCAGGAGGCACAGGTCTCCTCCATTCAAACGCAGGCACTCACTGACAGGTCGGTGCGTGCGCTCGCTCTCTCTCTCTCTCTCTCTCTCTCTCTCTCTCTCTCACACACACACACACACACACACACACACACACACACACACACGTCTCCTCCATTCAAATGCAGGCACTCACTGACAGGTCGGTGCTCCCTCGCACTCTCTCTCTCTCTGCTTTCTACTTAATTTTAAAAGTAATTCCAAAAAATTTTAAAAGAAATTCCTGGTTATTTGATATCCCAAGCTCAAAGCAGATCAGAGGTCAGAGCCAGGAGGCCCAGTAGTGGGAAGAGGTCTGGCAGCCAATATGCTAACAGCCCCAAGAAGGAAAATAGAGCAGACACCAAAAAAGCACAGGAATGCGGTGCCATTTGGTTTCAGCCTGAATATATTCACACACAAATGTATCCGCATTTCCCAGGAAAGCTTTCTATTTCGGAACACTACTTCCTACTAACGCGCGTGTGTGTGTGTGTGTGTGTGTGTGTGTGTGTTGCCTTTTATTCAATGGAAGATACAGAGCCATTCCATTCCATAATAAAGCAAGAAATGTGGGACATGCAGATGAGGAAGGGTGAAGTTAAAACAAACTAGTGAGAAAATATCAAAATGCAGATTTCTCCACTGCAAATTCCAACCTCTTGACAGCATTATCTGGCAAATGTCACCCTTTTTTTCGTTCCACATGACAAACCTCCTTCCCGAGTGTCTCTGGTGAGAAGCAGCGAGTGTCCGGCCTGGAGAGGGACGGTCTCCTCCCGCAGCGTAAGAAATTCTATCCCTAGAATATTCATCTCCGGGATGTGAGGTTCCCACTTACCATATCTGTGCCAGAACAGGCTGAGGTAACCCGGATTGGAAAAAAAAGTTTCTCGCTTGATCACCTGGAAAGTAAATGGGAAAAGTTTCAGAACAAAACAACAGCTAAACCACAGTAGACATTTTCTTACAATAATATTGCAAAACTAAGGAAGAGGCTGGTAACCCTGTGATCATGGCACTGAAATGTGATAGAAGCCAAACAGCAAGTCCACAAGGACAGGAACACCCGCCACGAGCACTGACTTCGGAGCTCAGCGCCTTAAAACCAGCATCTCAAAGGGCCGGCCGTTGGCGGGCGGACACTGTCGACATGAATTCATCTGCTATTAACCAGGATGGTAACAGCCACACATGTGACAAGCACATCTGCAGGGACCCTCCAGAAAGTGAGGAGCTTGTCTCTGCTTTTTAAAAGGGTCTCTGTCGTTCCCGATAGCAACCATTCTTGCACTTACGGAGAATAAGTAACAACGGTTTTTAACAATCGCATCAGTGGTTAAGATTTAATAAGTTAAAAAGAACTATGAGACAAAAACAAGTCCCCAGGGAATCTAGATCTCATTTTCCTGAAAACAATGCCTGAAGAGTAACCAAACAGGAAAGATAATAGGAAAGGCCAAGTTCAGAAGGAACTTCAGGGACACAGGAAATAAGAGAATTCCTTAAGAGTGCAAACAAGGCTTGAATGCATTCTTGGAAAAGCCACTGTCACAGGGCAGGTCAAGGAGAAGGCAGATGGGTAACTATGCCCTCAGTCCTACGTAAGCCCACCTTAGCTCGCTGGCAGGTTCTCCAAAATACATGCACCACTGAGAAGTGAAAATGTACAAGTGCCAACGCCCATTACCAGTGATAAATCCAGAAACTGGCTTCAAGCTATGGAACTGCTGATCATGCTTCGCTCTCTCCTCCACGGTGATGGCCCAGACATCCAGGCTGCCTGCAGTCCGAGGAAGACAAGCGCGTTATTGAATGATGAAGAACACGCCAGGCCCTCCATGAACTATTCCTATCGCATGAAGAGTATGTCAGCACGTTAGCAATGATTCGATACATGAGCACTGTTTGTCCTGGAAGTAATGCACACACAGCTAGAAAATTAAGCGTAAACAGCCCTTCCAACCCAAAAAGGAACTGGCACCAACTCTGTTTATAACAACTGTCCTATCACCCTGTCGTTAGCGGGGCTGCATGGAGATAGAGTGAGTTACTCATCGCTCATTCACACACACTCACGCAACAGACCATCCTACATGCCACAGCGGAAGTTATGAAAGAAGTTGAGCTCAGTCAGAATCCGAGTGAGTGCGCGAACCTCCTGGGGGCGGTAAAGCACTCGGGTGTTGGACTCTAGTGATGGCTGAATAACTCTCTAAATTTACAAAGAAACACGGACGTTGCTCGGTTAGGACCAGTGAGTTTGATGGCTTGTAAATTACACCTAAGGCTTTTTTTTTTTTTTAACGGCAAACCAAAGACAATGGGATTTAGAGTCTCTTTCAGTTTCAGCTGAGACTGAGCAGGAGTCCCCTCGCTTCTGAGACCTCTCTCCCTTCAGTCCTGGTCTCCTCAAATTCACCCAAATAACGTGAGAGCCATAGGCAGAAGGTTCTCAAAATGTCAGACACGCCCCAGAAGGTGGGAGCAGACGCCATGTGCATGTTTCAGGCAACGTGTGACGATGCCCAGCACAAAGCCACGTGTCTGGACACCGCCAACCCTGCACATCTGCGCTGGCAGCGGCAGGTGGCAGCGGTTCGCTCGGTCGCTGGAGACAGACTACTGAACAGTTAGGTGCCAAGCACTGGGCTAGGCATCGGGGGTGGAGCGGGGACGGTTCCGACCTGGTCCTGCCCTCCCCGGCCTGACAGTCCCGTACGTTCTGGAAGAGCTGTTTACTGCCCTGTCAGAAGTAAGCCAAAAACACAACAACAAATAAAAAAGGAATTAAGAAGGCGGACAAAATCAAAACCCAAGATGAAATAACACTAATGGTTTTGAAAACTTGGCCGACTTCCTTCCGGACTGGAGTCCCACAGGGACTTCACAGGTGGCCCAGCATGGCCTCTCTCCATGGTGGCCGCACAGACAGCAGCGCGGGCCATCAGCGTGGCACCCGCTCTTAGAAGGAATCCTTAGCCAGTGAGCAGAAACAATTATTCCACACGTTCCAATAAAGTTAGGAAAAGTCACCCAACAACACATTTCATGCAGATCGATAGGATGTTTTAAGCAGATAAAGTGAAACAAATAAAAGTGTCACACTTCAGCCCTAGCCGGTTTGGCTCAGTGGGTAGAACGTCGGCCTGTGGACTGAAGGGTCCCAGGTTCGGTTCCGGTCAAGGGCATGTACCTTGGTTGCGGGCACATCCCCAGTAGGGGGTGTGCAGGAGGCAGCTGATCGATGTTTCTCTCTCATTGATGTTTCTAGCTCTCTGTCTCTCTCCCTTCCTCTCTGTGAAAAAATCAATAAAATATACTTTTTTAAAATAAGTGTCACACTTCAAATCCAGGCTTCAGAAACAGTACAGAATCAGTGACCCGGTTACCTCAACAAATAAACTGCAAAGGCGACCCGGGGACGGAGGGAGCTCACAGCCAGAGACACGGGGGAGACCCGGGCACTAACTGCAGTGCACGCGCCTGTTTGGATCCCGATCTGAACAAACCCTAACCAACAGCCGCTCACTAACAACCTCACACTGCCATCAGAATTACTGTAAACGCTGCAGGGATGCTAATGGTATTGAATTATACCTGTAGAAGTGTCATCTTTTAGAAACATGTACTAAAGTACTTGTGAATGAAATGATTTGATGCCTGAGAGTTGCTTCTAAAGAATCCAGATGAAACAACATTGGCCATGGGCTGCTCGTCACTGAAACTCTGAGATGAGCACATGTGAGGTGGGTTCATTATATTATTCCCTCACTTATGTGCACATCTGAAATTTGCCACAATACTAAGTTATTAATACGTGGTTCCAAAATACATTGAAAAAGGAAGATCTTTGAAAACTTACCACCAAAAGGCGTTGGAAACTGAGCCATGGTTCTGTCACTTCTACCTGGCTAATCGACGCCTGTAATTGAAATAAAACATTTAAGTTTGTGAAAACTTCACTCTTATATACTTATAAACACACTAGCATGCTGTTTCTTCAATGATCAGAAGGCCGATACCGATACCGGAGCTAGGGTTCAGCACCATAAGTGAAAGCTACCACTAAGGGGCTCATTCATTCATTCATTCACTCATGCTCTGCAGATTCTTAACGTCAATGGGCACGGGGAAATGTTGGTGAAAGACTGTGGCAACAGGAAGCTAGCTTTCCGTCCGGTGAGCTCTCCATGAGCCCGGAGGGCTTTGTTACTTTTAAGTGTATCTTTTTCTTCGCCATCCACATATACTAGCCCATCTGCCTGGTGGTTCTAACAGTAACTCTTTAAAGAGCACTGAGCATATGCTGCCCACTGACCCCGGTGACGCATCAGTCTCAGCGCGTTTCACTGCCACCACCGCTCCGAGAGCAGGTACTGCATCTACCACCCCGTCGCAGGTGAGGAGAACGAAAACCGAGGCGCCGTGATCACAGCAGTGCCTGCCACACACGCGGTGACAGGGCTCCACCCATGGGAACAGTCTGCATTAGGCCCCGTGAGCAATGCTTATCACACCAACGTCTGCAGACACGGAGCACACCCCAGGCAAAGCCCCCAGCCACCGTCCACGCACTGCCTCCTCCTCGCCTGGAAACTCCACGCTCGCTGGGCCTGTGTCCCGGCACCCGCACAGGGATTACTCCTCGTTCCATCTCCCACTCTGACCCTGGGATCCTTTCCTGGGTGGCGGTTTTAACTCTCCCAGCTCTTCCTTGTTCTCCTCTCTTTATTCCTGCGACTGCCGCCACATTTTTTTTCCTTTTGACAGGCACAATGTCTTTCACTCCCCCATTTTGCTCTTTAGCTTTCTTCTGTTTCTGGCATCACGGGTCCCTTTGCTGGCTGGCTGTCTTAGGCCCCTCTCCCGCACCGGGGACCTGGTGCTCCTGCCTACGGAACACGAGGCACTGAGCAGAGGCGCAGAAGCTGAGCGGGGGCGGCACGTGCGTGGATCGACAGGCTCCTCCACACAGTGAGAGGCCCCCCTGTCACCTTCCGCTGGAGACCTCCAAAGGCCAGTGCAGGGGTGTCACTGAAGCTGTTTAGCTCTGCCAGCGGGAAAGCCGTGAAGGGGCGGGGGAGAGGGAACAGCACATGGAGCTGGTGATGCTGGGCGGGGTGAAGGGAGAAGGGGACAGACGTTCCCCAAGAGTCCAGTGCAGAGCAAGACCCTCAAGAACACAAACATACAAATGCAAACCCTCCACAACACAGTGCAAACGGATCTCAGCCACGTAAGGAACAGGACAAGAAGACACTAACGAGATTATCCCGGAAGTGCAAGATTAGCGTTTGAAAGCCAATTAACGTAACTTGCCATATTTACAGAAAACAGCAGAAAACCCGTTTGGTTTGACAAACATGGGGAAAAGCTTTTGATAAAAACTCTACACCCAATAATAATAAAAACTCTCAGAAAGCGAGGATTAGTAGGAAAGTTCTTGAAACAGAAAGTTCCTCAAACATGAAATTCTCAAAAGCTGAGATAATTGGGGAAAGTCTAAGCGTCAGTATGTTTAATAGTCCCTCTTCTTCTCATTGAGGATCAGGTGCCCAACTCCATCCAGCCGCACTTGGAAACAAGCTGTCTACGCTCAGAGCCCCGCCCCCCAGAGCCTACCGCTCCCCAGGAGCTGTCATGCCCACGGACACCACAGCGCTGTATTCATCCAGCACATTACACAACAGGCGCGTGTCAGGGACTTCCATCTCCTCAGAGCATTTAAGATTATCTTAAAAGGTCTGATTTTTAAGTTCTTATCTTATTCCAGTGGCATCTGTTTTTTCAGTTTTATAAGCATGTAATAGTTTACCAGTTGGTACAGTACGATCTTTAATATGCAGAAGAGATGAATGGATTGTGTTTTACAGTCGGAGAGCCACACGCCTTCTGTGAACACAGAGCAACAGCATGTGCGCTCGCTCCTTTGCCGATGGGCGGACTGTGCTGCTCTCTTAGTTCCTCTTACAATGTGGGGACGCCCCCAATTGCCACCTCAGCAGCGTTCATATGAAATCAGTCTGTACACCCTCAATATGTGCAGCTTCCAGTTGTCAATTATGCTTCGATAAGCTGGGGGGGGGGGGCTTACAATTAAATAGGGGATAGAAATGCACATCAAAGAATCTGTGTGTGTGTGTGTCTGTGTTTGTGTGTGTGTGTGTGTCTGTGTGTGTGTGTCTGTGTTTGTGTGTGTGTGTGTGTGTGTACACAGAAAGGGCCATTAGCAGCAAGCAATGTAGACATGGAAGCAACAAATGATAAACCAGAACTTTATGAAATGCTTGCTAACACATTTGGGCTGTATTAGTCCATGCAATTCCGTGAACAACCTGTGGGATAAATAACATCACCATCCCACCTTACAGATGTGGGGGCCAAGGCAACAGCTGACACAACCATTAAACGGCGACGAGGGAGCCAGCCTGTGGGGACTGAGAAATGCATGGGACACGCAGGGAGTAGTCAGCCTGGTAGACCCGCCAGGGTGGAGCTGGGGGTGGGGAGTGGGGGGCACTGCTCCAAGCCACAAAAGCCTGGAAAGCAAAACGGAGAAAAAGGGAAACCAAGTGTGTGCGCCACAGCAGGCCACAGAGGGAACGGAATGGGGGAGTAAGTTTACACATTTTGCCATGTAAGTCCAAAGAGCTTTTACTTCTTATACAAAAAAGCAAAGCTTCCTTAAATGTAAATAAGCATTTACTGAACGGAAGTTGGAAGTCACACACACACACACACACACACACACACAGCCGGTGGGCTCAGTGGTTAGAGCGTCGGTGCCCAGTCAAGGGCGCGTACCTCAGTTGCAGGCTCGATCCCAGCCCCACTCTGGGAACATGCCAGAGGCAACTAATCGATGTGTCTCTCTTGCATAGATGTTTCTCTCTCCCTTCTCCCTCCCCTCCACTCTCTCTAAAAAAAACCACCAAAATACAAACTAAAACTAAAGTGAGTGAAGGGAGGAACTCCATCCATTGCTCGGACTGCAACGGGATAAGGTGGGTCAGCGGCAGCGAAGACAATCAGAACACAAGAGCCTGCCTAGAGCCGAGCAGAGAAGGGCACCCTCCGGGGCCTGGGCCCTGCTGCCCGGGGAGCAGCAGGCAGGCAGGAAGCTGCCCCAGTAGGAGGGTGGCGGGTCGGCAGGATGGGCTGATACCATGGGGGAGGGCTACTTCGGAGTTCTTACAGGCAGACCAGGCAGCCCCCCACCAGCTTGGGATTTATATTTCCATTTAGCCTTTTCCCTATAAATATACAATTGTTTCCCTCTTTTGCACACTTTACATTATAATGCATTCTTAAAACCTTTCATAGCCCTAGCCACTTTGGCTCAGTGGATAGTGCATCGGCCTGTGGACTGAAGAGTCCTAGGTTCGATTCCAGCCGAGGGCACGGGCACAGGCCCAGAATTCGGGCTCGATCCCCTGTAGGGGGCGTGCAGGAGGCAGCCAATCAATGATTCCCTCTCATCATTGATGTTTCTATCTCTCTCTCCCTCTCCCTTCCTCTCTGAAATCAATAAAAATATTAAATTAAAAAAAAACCTTTCATAAACATTAATTTTTAGAGTGAGGCAAACACTCCTATACTTATATATAAAAAATAGAAAAACAGACTAAATATTGAGCAATCAAGAGACAGGTAAAGAGTAGTACTTTTTAAAACTTTGGATAAATGTTAGGATCTTTAGCCAAAAGCTAGAATATGTTTGAGAAGTCTTTAATCTTCCTTCATTTCAGCTTCAGAAAGGAAAGCTAATTATAGAAACCTAAAGGAATGCTGATCCTTAATTTCAGCATTTACACTAAAATCCCAAATGTGGACATATTTAGAGAAGACCTCTAAAAATGTGTATTTATAAAACAACTATGCGAGATGAAATGAGGGAATTCGAATACATAATCATTCACACAAAAAAGGAATCTTTACAATTATTTAACTCAAATAATTAGCAGGTTTGTAATCTACCCAAACAGGGCTAGTTTAGGATTAATGACCTAAAGCCCAAGAGAGATTCTGACCATACATGAAACTGCTTTTCACTGAATTACTGACCATCCATTCTCTCACAGAACCCTGAAGTCCTCCTCCATAAATCAGACACAAGCAGAGGCTGCAGGAGGAGGGGCCGCGGGGGCACACAGAGCACCTGGCCCAGTACTGAGAATGCACTCTGGTAGAGAAGGTATTTCATCTACTCCCCTTCATGGTGTCCCTTCCCAACAGTCAGGCTAATTTATTTATTTGAAATAGCTTTTCATGGTATGAGGCAGTGGTCGGCAAACTGCGGCCCCTTGAGTGTGGCTCTTCCACAAAATACCACGTCCGGGTGCGCACGTACAGTGCAATTGAAACTTCGTGGCCACACTCAAGGGGCCAAAGAGCCGCACTTTGCTGACCAGTGGTAGAAGGTAATTAACTTTAAATTCATTTCGTATAAAGAAATGTTTTTAAACTTTTTATTTTAAAGTTGTTCAATAGGTTTAGTTTTAGACTAAAGGACCTACAGGGTAGGAGGTACAGACTAGAAACTTTAAATGTCTAAAAATTTGGCATCAATAAAATTGAGGGGAAAGAAAGGAACAGAAGTGTGAAAATGTGAGAAAACTGAAAACATACACATATTTTAAATACCCAAAAGGGTATAAAAATATCCTCAGAAACATTAAAATAAAGCACACGCTAGCCACCGGTGCCGCTCAGCGGCTGAGCACAGACCCTTGAACCAAAGGGTCCTGGTTTGATTCCCAGTCAGGGGCATATACCCAGGTTGTGGCTCGATCCCCAGGTGGGGGGCGTGCAGGAGGCAGCCGGTCGATGTCTCTCTCTCATCGAAGTTTCTATTCTCTATCCTTCTCCCTTCCTCTCCCTCTCTAAAATCAATAAAGACATATTTAAACTTTTTTAAAGAGC